ATGCGCAGCGCAACTGTCTTCTTCCTCATCTGTACAATTGCATTGTGGGATTGTTAACAGGAAGTAGTGTAGGTAATTATGGGAGAGATTTTGGACATTTGGACTTTCCTAAACCAGACCCAAATCGAGCTCCCTAACCTGCGTAGGGTATGAGCGGCCAACTTTCGGTCAAACTACCCTCTCCCCAACGTAAAAAGGATCTGATGTTCACTCACTGCTATCACACCATTATCAAACAAACAAACAACAGTTGTATTAAGATTCAGGAATTGATATTGAGGAACAGCGTGTGTTTTGCATTAACAAAACTGAAACTATTTGTCATTTATTTTATGATCATATGTAGTGTTGTAGTCAAGACAGCCCAAACCAAGACAGAGAGAGAGAGAGAGAGATGAGGTGCTGAGCGAATATGCGGTGCTTGTTAAATAGTAAAAAAAAAAAAAATCAATATGTGGCCGGGCACGTCACCTTGGCAACGCATCCGATGAAAGCGTCTATATGTTGAACCTCTTTTTCTTATACGGAAATTATTACATTCACAAATCTAAAAAGAAACCACAAATACATAATTTCTAGAAATCAAATATTATATTGAAGCATTATATAGTCTAAAGAATAGTAAAGCAATTAAACAGGTAAAATGTGTAAAGATTTTAATATTTTCCTTTAATGCCTTTGTTGCTTGTTACATGAAACCTCTGTTTCTAGTTGTGTCATCTTCTATTATTGTCGTTTTATGTCGTTATATTTGACTGAAATTTTTCACAGGCCTATAGGATGAATAAGATAAGATTTAATAAAAAAACAGTTTGTAATGTAAACTGTATTGTGTATCACATGTGTGAGAGTTCAGAGATACTGTAGTTTTTGTGAACTGTTTCCCCCATCAGAAACTAATAAATGCCTGAGGACAGACCTTTTTAAAAACTATTTGGTGTAGTCAGAAGTTATGTTAAACAGCAATATTAGGCTATTTTGGCTCAAATGTTGAGTGTCCATGGGATCAAATAATATAATCATGATCCCATAGACATCCAGGAATTGAGCGAAACTTACCAAGTAAACTAAAGATGTGGTTGGGGGGGGGGCGCCGTTACCCAAGCTTTGTCTGAGGGGAGACCCGCAATCTCAGACTTTGAAAACCAAAGCATTGTTTTTATTAAACAAAATAACCTTTAGGCTGTGTTGTTAATAGAGCCCAACCAATATGGGTTTTTGGGGGCCGATGGCGATATTAAAGTTGCTCTGTATGTGAGCTATAATACCCTTTCCTAAATGGATTATGTTAATAAAATAGATTACAGTCAACAACTTAACATGTAAACAGTTGCACATCAATAAATATTTGCTGCAGGAAGGTGGCTCGCAGATCTATTTAGAATATGTCAGAAACTCTAGTTTAACGGCTCATTAATGTTAGCGCTCCTTCACTGATAAACACGGCACTAGCTTTGTAACTAATTTTGCAACAGGCAACGTTAGCTGCTGTACGTGATTTTAGAGAATATTTAGAAGTGACGAACTAGGGACAAACGGACCTGCGTGTTTCTACACGCTGCAGTAGACTCCGGTCAGCTGATTGTTTTCTTTTGTGGTTCATCTGGTGCAGCAGTGTTGATAACAGAGAAGCTGCAGAGCTCCCTTTGGTGGGCAAACTATGCAACACTCAAGACATGAGTGAGTGAGCTTTATCAATAATCATATCTGCTGTTATAAACGCTGATGCCGATTAAATGCAATTAGCTCATATTGGCCGATAATATTCGTCGCGCTCCAGTTGTTAACCTGTTTATGGTGATGTAGAAATGTAGTTTTGGAATTTAAAAATCCTACATGTTTATGGGCGTAATGACACAGAACTCACATTTAAAAGAAAGGGTACTCCACCGTGCAGCAAAAGGTGTCACACACCTTCAACAAGCCAGCATCGGTCCTCACTCGGCATTGGAGGACTTTAAAACCCACTACCACTCCAGCCTCATTGGTTTTGGATAGCACTCAATGTGGGGGACCCTCAGCGAGAACGTGGCAACGAAGTGGAAGTAGGTAGGGGGAGAGAGTTGCAAGTACTTTCAGAAAGGCCCCAGTGTCTCGTATCGGACAACATACGCTGTAGCTGGAGATGTTGCACAAAAATAGTTACACATCACAAAAATCTTACGTTCAGGTATGGATTAAACAAATGGTATACATCATGTAAATTAGTTGATGATAGCCCTGTCTTTTTTAAAAGCTGGACATCCAGTACAAACAAGCCCTCGCCAAACAAGTTCACACAATGCTGATTAAGCCTATCATCATCATCATCATCAGGTACACCCCTCTCACGAACAATTGGTTTGTCAGAGCTGGGGTGGGGAGCATCTACATGGCTCTGGAGCAACTATGGCAACAGAGTAGGCTACAGCAGGTAGGAGTATGGAAAAGTATATGGCGGAAAAACCTAACAAGTATTCAAGAAAAATTTCTGATGCTTCAAATAAAAAAAAAAAACTACATTCAGAGGAAGGATTACACTTAAAAAAAGTGATGGATGGCGAGGACAAACACAGATAACCAGTGGTGTAGTTTTTCCCTGTTGGACCGTGCTGAGAGAAGAGAAGGGAATGAGGGCAGATGTTTGGACAGGTTAGTAGTTGTAAAATATTTGGAGTAGGTTATGTGGCTATTACGTTTACTCTACCTAAATACTGGATGTAACTATTTCTTAACAGAAGCCTTGGATGAGCTCACCTGTAGACATACAATATGAGCACACGTCGACAGTATCTGTAATTACACTCGCTGCACGAAGGGCAGACACAAGTTCTGCACTACAGATTCAAGCTAGACTTTTTAAGTCTTTATGCTAAGCTATCCATGCCCCGACTCTACCTCCAAACTTAGAATACCAAATATACCAATATCAAATATGCATATTTGCCTTAAAGAAATTGATATCGTCCTCCATTGATAATTATCAGTGATGTAGAGGAAAGGAAAGATGGAGAGAGTAGAACCAGAGGAGGAAAAGAAGGCGGAGGATCCCTAATCTGTCATTATTAGTTTGATTTTCAAATAGACGGGGGTAAACATGAAAGCTTTGATTCTCTGTGTAATAAGATTAGTGTTATTAAAAGGAGAAGGGCATCTAGAGTGGGAGGGGAAGGAAGGACAGAGGTAAGTATGGTTAGAAGGAAGGAAGAAGTGACCTTTGCAGAATGAGGTAAGGAGAGAAGGAGGAACCCTGCTGAGGAGTAGTGAAAAGAAAAAAGAGAGGGAGGTGAGACAAAGGATGGAGGGAGAGGGAGGCTGGGATGGAGTGACCCCGGCGAAAACAGATTAGTCGACCATGAAGAGGATTACCAGCAATGATAGTCCCTCTGAGGGAGCAGAGCCAGTCCCAGCCAATGCAAACACACACTGAACACATCAAAGTGATCAGTATCAGTCCAACCTGTCTGGCTAATGCAAACACACACACACATAACAGTCAGAATACATGTACTCCAGCACAGGATGTATTCAAAGTACATGCTGGTATTTGCATTTTTACTTCACCACATGAATTTAACAGCTTCAAAACACCAAGCCGTTATAAGTTTGTGTACAAAGCTCAGCCATGTAATGATTCAATTTGCCATCAAAGTGCTGGGAAGAACTCAAAAAGTGAAGGTTATGAACAAACTCAGATGCAAGTGAATGAATGACTAAGATCCTTAATTCACCTCCAGCAGGTGAAGTCTGACTAACAACAAGCCAAAAATACAAATCCATAGAAAACAAGCAACAATGTAAAGCCTGAGTCACACTCACAGGAGGTGTAGGATGTTCAACCAAAGAAACTAACACTAACTTTCTTTGGTCACTTTAAATTGGACTGAAATCATTTGAAATAACAAACATTGATATGATAATGAATGATGAAGGAAATCACCTTGTGAAGAGTTTAACACCAAACTTAAAAAAACTTTTCTGCAATGTCAAACTCGTGGCAGTTCCACATATCAAAAATTTGATCCACCTGCCAAAACATGCTAGTTTCACATCATATTCAAATGACTAGTAAGGTCCATTCAGCACTTTTCCTACAAAAACAATTGGATTAAAAAAAACAATTAACAACTGGAATAAACTGAAAACAGGAAAACATCCTGTCATCATAACATATTTTTACTTTTAAAATTATTTCATGATTATTTTAGTAATGTTAGCCAGGCTGGGAGCATGGACATCTTCTGTTACTCAAACACACACAGACCTACAATTCTGCAGGACAGCAAGAAAACAGCTGACTGTCAACTAGAGAGGTTCAACATGCTGGTCTGACACCTCTGTGTGTGTCTAATCCCACTCCACCCCCACCACCATCCTGGCTGATTTTAACTGACACATCTGAAAATGTTTCTGTAGGGCAGAAAGTTCTGTGAGCTGAAAACGTGAAAACACAGACAGAAATCATAAAGGCAACAAAGGTTTTCTGACTTTCTAACTCTTAACTAGTTTTGTGTGTGTGTTATTTGTTGGGGATTTACTTACTCCTGAGGTTTTTACATTTTAAAGGGAGAGGTTCACAATTTCTCAGGTCTGCCTTAAAAATAACAGTCAGGCTCCCGTAGGAACATTGTTTTTGTGCTGTGCTGTAGTGGACATAGAGCAACACAAAAATGGATATGCTGTACTAAAAGTAAGATTTGTATGATGGAGACTGCTGAAGATTAATTTAAGTATGATTAAGAAACCACTAATTGGTGATTAATAAGTAAGTAAATGAGTAATTTTGTCTCCCATCACTTACATGTAGTGCTTTAAGTTAAGTTCTCCCCGTTCACATGTTGGTGTGTGAATTTTGTGGGTTGTTTTCATTCATTAAATCCTTGTGCAAGAAAAATGCTCTAAATTGTGCTTAGTGTCTAATTTGTTTAATGCTATGTTCTAACTTGTCAATAATCATAACCATTTATGCATAACAAGCTTGCTGTAGCACATCACCCTTTTTTATGTCCCAACCTATCCAGGCTGTCATTGGTCGATTCCTGAAAAGCGACAATGACAAGCAGATTTATGAAAAACTGAACATACGAAAGGCACCCGAACTTCTCCCTACTATGTCTCCGCCAGCAGAGATTAGCAGGCAGGCAAGAACAAGAACAGGTGAGTGGCACATACTGTCCCCTGGGTAATGCAGTTTATTTGGGGCCATGTGAACCTGAGGGGACAGGAAAGAGTACCAGCCCCAAGAAAAAGTCATGGTATGCCAAAGAGTAAAATGTAGATATGCCAGTACTGCATACTGGTGAGTACTGGCCCACTTCATCAGTGCTTACATTGGGATCACGTTAGGAAAGGGTTTATTTAGTGTTACAGCAAGCAAAAACCGCTTTAGTCTTCAGATGGTAATCCGACTGTTGCTTTAAGACTGACTTGAAAAATTGTGAACCTGTCCTGTAAGTTTCATTAAAGGAACATTGTGTTTTTGGAGTTGTGGCTGTCATTACAATTGTTTATACAGCAGCATTTTTCTCACATCTTCATTGCAGGTACACGGGGATACAACACTACTGACCTGACCATTGCTGTTACAAGTGTTTGGCATACAGGTGAAACTTTAAGAAGCCCTGAAATTAAAAAGACCTTCACAATTATACCATTTATAGTTCTGCTGGGACTCCGAATAAGATAGTTTATACATTTACAAAACAGGGGACATTGTGATTTTTGTTGCTGCCTATCACCACGTACACTTGACACACACATAATGTTTACAGCATTTATGTAATTTTTCCAATGTGTAGATACCAGCTGAAAGTAGAAACTGTTGATGCTAATAAGAGGTGTAGCCTAATTACTTTTACACCTTATTCTTCAAAATGTTGATATAATAATATTTATCTCCTGAAAGTGACACCATTAGCTACTCTGTCCCACAGTCCACTGCTGTGTACAGGAGTGATGTGTCTTGTCACTCACAAATGATCGTGCAGGGAGAAACTTAACTAGAAAGTAACCTGAAGTTTGATTTTAGCCATTATGGAATTAACATTAATATATAATCTACCGCGGAGTGGTTTGTTCTTTCAAATAACAAGAGTGAGCGTCAGGGACAGCTAAATATGACAAGCCTCGTACCTGAATAATATATTTGCTCATTAAAAAGGTGTTTCGAGATAGAAACTGCCTCTTAGCCTAACAAATCTGGGTGTTTTGTGCCAAAACTAGTATAACAGGAAGCTAACCCCATGTTGTAAGCATTTATAAGCACACATGTACAAAGAGAGAAAAAAAACAGACTGCAGACAGAATCACAGTTTAGGCACCAAAATGCAGTAGTGGAAGTATTCAGATCAGTTACTTAAGTAAAAGTAGCAGTACTAATACGTGAAAATATCCCGTATTATGAGCAAAATGTACACTACTTAGTAAAAGTACTTATTATGCAGCAAGATGGCAGAAGTTGTTGTTCTAGTTCAGAGGTCACTAATAGGCGGACCTACAGCCGATTTATTATTGATACTTACTACCTTGTGACGGAGCGTTTCTATTTTAACCCGCGTAGCTTTTCTAGCATTTACTGTACTGGTTTAGCGGACCAGGAAACTCACAGACCAATCGCATGTGCTCCAATCGTCTCATGTGACGCTGCTCAGCCAGTCAAATCTGTGCATTCTAATGCTTGCGAGTCGAGTCTGCCAGATTCACCAGAGACATTTTGGAAACACATGAATTGAGGAGACGAAAGGGAAAAGAGATTTCACATGGCTTTTAATCAAGAATGTACAGATTCTTACATGTACATTCCTCCCACGGGCAGTTCAACACCAGAATATCGCATAGATCTCCAATGCTAGCTGGCAGGACAAACTAGAGCTCACGTTTCTCACTGAACAAGATAAAGTACACTTCATCACTTCAAGCTACACTTTTTATTAAATTTTTTCAAAAAATTAGGCACTTTATTTAAATTTACTTAAATTTAGAATTTATTATTAGAGTAGTTATTATTTATTATCCCTCCAGTTTGATGTGAAAACTGACCGTTGTTGACTAAAAACATATGCTGATAAAATTATACGTTATGGTACTGAATGATAACGCAAGTTAGTCGTTTTGATGTTCCGGACCTTTGCTTCAGCAAATTTTCTCTAACTGGACCTCTTTGAATTCTAATTGAATAGCCCTGTTCTAGTTTCTACTATATACTGTTTTTACTGGTAGCATTACACAATTAATTTAATTTTAATCACCATTTCGACTTTTACTTCCAACGACCATAAACAAGGATAAACTCATTATTGTGATGCATGCTGTTTCGCAATGACACTTGTTTTGTCTTGTTTTGTGTTATAAATCCCACCTCACCCTTTCCTTGACAGCTCAACCTCCCACCTCTCCCTAAAAGCCCAAACTCAGTCGCAGCCAGGCTGTTGCATGTTTTTTTTTCTTCTTCTTTTGTCAATCGAATGTATTGATAATTTTGTGAGAAAATCTGCTGACAGACATCTATTAAACCAAGATGAAAGCTACCACAGGTTGGACATTAGACAACGATAAAGACAATCTGTTCCAAAGCAACACTTCTTCTCTCAGTCATTTTGACAAGAGAAAGGAAACCTAACAGCTCAGGAATTGCGCAATACCAAGATGGCGGCCCGGGCGACAATTTCACACACAGAAAACAGTTGTTTTTGGACTGAAAACAGCAAAAACTGAAAAAGCAAGTCAGTGGTTGTAACTGTAAATGTATATTGGTGCATTGGTTGTTATTTTTATCTGGCTAATAATTGAGTTTTGTGATTTGAGTGATATGAGAGCTGATCAGATGCTTGGTGTTTGATGTGTGTGTGGATAAAAATGGCTGGTTTGACGTTCTGGCTGAGCCTCCTAGCTTCACGGAGGTGTGTGACATGAAATACAAGGATCAGACATGGATTTCTCTTTTTCATTTTGCACGAAAATGAAAATCAGGCTGTTGCATGTTTACTTCAGCTCGAGCCAAGATGACAGCGGTTATAACTGCTACAACATCCCATAATATTCGATTATTGTTTCTTATTCCATGGGCTATTTGAGATAATGCATAATCATTTTTAAAAATGATTATGCATCTCAAATTGAACCTCTCCCTTTTAAAAGTTCAATAAATACTTGCCGATTTAAAATGCAGTAAAAACTACGACATTTTCCTCTAAAATGTAGTGTAGAAGTATAAAGCAGCAGAAAATGCTACTAAAGTAGCCTACTGTATTTCAGTAAATGTACTTCACACACTTCCACCACTGTCAAAATGACTCACATAGACTTGTGGAGTATTTTGTGGACCTAATGAAACCCTGCCCTCCTTTTCCTACGTAGATTGTGTCCATCAGTGACAACAGATCGCTCAATTCTGAATTCAACATCGCAAAATGCAGAAAAGGTCAAATGGGTTGATTCCAAGCATTGCACACACACATCAATATCCAAATAAAATGATAAAAGACACTAAACCTTTCCTTCTTGCTGACATTTCTCTCCATCCCGCTGAGGGAAAGTTTTGATATCAGGACCCCCCTCAGAGGAGGATGGGGGTCCTCTCTCACCCCCTCTCCACTCATCCTAAATGAGGGCTTTTTCCTTGTTTTCCTCTGCTGTTGGTGGGGGGTGTCGGGCTCTGGGAAGAATGAGGGCTTCCTGGGGAGGGGCCTTTAAGTGCAGGGCTAAGGAGTCCCCCCCACCCCCCCTCACAATTCTCCTCTATGTCTCTCTCTCATCCTAAATGGGGTCAAGCTTTCAGCCAGGACTTGCTGCTTTCAAAGACCCCAAAGAGCAGCTCTCCTCCACCTGCCCTTTCCTCCCCTTCCTCCACAACCTTTTCTTCCCCTTTCCGTTCCTTTCCATCCCTGTCCCTCACTTCACCTTCCTCTTCTTCCTGCCACTTACCCCTTTCTTCCTCTTTCTTGCTCACATCTACCTTAGTGTATCCATATGTCTGTTCATTAATCTACAATGCTTTACATAGCATAATTAATATTGTGTAAGACAGAACAGTGATTTTATGATCTACAGATCAAAAAGATATCTAGGTAAAAATGCTGAATTTGTTGAACATTTTTAGACATCTAGGTTACATATAACTGTAACAGACTACATAGATATAACTCCTGCTAGGCTGCTACATGTTGAATTCTAGTATAAATTGCAGTTGAAACAACAGTTATGTTACTTGGATGTCTAAACTTTTTTTTCAAATGAGTTTTGCCTCTTGGGGTTTTAAAGACAACTAATTGAACTGCTCATAGACATACCTGTGACGAGGAGTCACAAGTAGGCATGGCTTGGCTGGGTCAGATAGTAGAAGAGGTTGGGAAACGGCAAATCAACAAACCATTGCTTGCTAGATATGTTTAATTTAAAATTTCTCGTCAGGGTCAAAACGCTTCTGACTCAACATTTAGATCACCATGGGATATTTAAAATCACCACTGAAGCCAGAAAGACACCAATTGTGATATCAAAACTAATCATGTGTATCCATTCAGGTTGAGAGCTTCCTAAAGGCAACATGTAATCAGAGTCACACAAGGTCACGCAAACAACCTGACCGGTGCTTTTCTATATCCGGCAGCAGCTAATAGATAAAAAAAAAAAAAAACACACAGTCAAACAGCAGGACTCTTGGAAATATTTCTTTAGCTGCAGATTCAACTTGTACAGTAGCTCTGTGTAGGGCCATGTTGTAGAAGTGGATGTAATTATGTTATTATTTCTCCACGGATATTCAAACGACATAGCCTGTTATTAGTTTCTGTGCACATGTAGTGGAAGTCATACCTTTGCATCATGGTCCTACGATAACTCAGCAACTTTTTCTAAAGCAGCAGGGGTAATTCTGAGTGGGTTTAAATCTTTCAGCTTCAGGTTAAACATACAGGCTGATTTCTTGCAATTCTCACATGAAGACCTAAAGAATCAGCAACACTGAGTATAAATGCAGCTAATCAACAGCCAATGAACCTCAACCACCTGTCTAGCACACACCTTCATGCCTCAAACGGCCCTCCCTCTTTTATCAGTAGTAACATACCTTACTTCCTTTTACCAGTCATCCATTTATCCGTGGCAGTAGAAAGGCAAGTTGAGGACCTTTTTCTCCATATATCTGTCAATCCAACCAGGCAGAGGCATCATTTATACACTCTGTTTCTTCTTGTTGGAGCATTGCAGGAGAAAGGATGAATAGGAGTCATAGGGGGGAAATAAATAGATGCCAGGTGTACAATCTCCAAGTGATGTTCCCCTCACTCTCCATAAGTTCTTATTGTTTCCAGATGCATAAATTTCCCACTATTTTTCCATCCAAATGCTCACCATCTCTGCCCAGCAGTGACACAGAGGGTCCCATCACATCTGTAGTGAAATCCCTGCAGAACTCCTTGTGTCCATCAACAGCAGAACATCAAGCCCTACATGATGACTTACTGCAATAAGAGATGCTGAACACTGTCCCTACCCTTAGCGTCCATTTGTTTTTCCCTCCACCTGGGCCTGTCTGCATCCCTTCCTGCTTTCCTCAAGCCTCATTTGGCTTTCCCTTGCATCCACTCCATGGCGTTCTTCTCAT